CATGAGAGGGGGGAAGGTCAGAGGGAGAAGCAGACTCCCTGCTGAGCAGGGAGCCCGATGCGGGACTCGATCCCAGGACTCCAGGATCATGACCTGAGTCGAAGGCAGTTGCTTAACCAACTGAGCCACCCAGGCGCCCCGAGAGTGAGAATCTTAAAGAGGCTCCACACCCAGTGTGGAGCCTGACGTGGGGCTAAATCTCGCGACCCTGAGATCATGACCTGAGCCAAAATCAAGAGTTGGACGCTTAACTGACTGAGCCACCCAGGCGCCCCAGTTCTGTACTTGCTTTTTATCACAGCAACTACCAAAAATTCAGGTTACACAAACATATGCAAATATTGAGCAGGGTCTATTTTGTTCTGATAGTGACCTTGCCAACTGTCTTAAGCTTATAATTCATGTGGTGTTCTGATGTTGAGTGTTAGCTGTGTTTCCCTTGAAAATTTATCCTGGGGCAAAAAAAAAAAAAGTATCCTGTGACACTCTTGTGAGTTTATAGTAGTGCCTAGAGTGCACTGTTTGAGAACTGTGGCCACAGACTTATTTTACTCATTTATTTGAACTGTGTTGTAAATGTCTATTTGCCAGAACCTGAGTGTATGAGGGGAGAAAGAAAGAGTCATGCCCCTGCTCCTATAGAGCTTATAGTTTATTGGAGACATAAATATTAAATATAAAAGGACTTATGTCTTATTACAAATTGTGATAAATGCAGTGAAGGAAAGAAAGGTGCTATAAAAGAGAGTAATGGTACTATTTTTAATTAAGGGTGATAGTTAAGCTGGAATCTGAAGGATAGGTAAGAGTTCAGTGGGCACAGTTTGAAAAAGAGAAAAGTATCAGATAGGGGGAGCAAACTAAAAGCCTTGAACTGGGAAGAACCTTGGCAAGGTCATGATATTGAAAGAAATCAGTGTGGTTGGGCTGAATCAAGGGGGAATGGTACAAGATGAGGTTGGGAAGGTAGGCATGTGCCAGAACTCATAGCACTTTCAGGCCTTAGGAAGAAATGTGGATTTTATTCTAAATATAGTAGGAAGCTTTTAAGAGTTTTAAGCAGAGATGTGGCTTGATCAGATTTTAAAAGATCACCCTGGAGGGGAGCAGGGGTTGAAGTGGGATGTTCGTTTCAGTAGTCTAAATGTGAATGGTGGCATGGACTCTGGTGATGACACCAGAGAGAGGGAAAATGATGGTGTTAAGGTGCATTTTGGAAGTACCTCGCTTTGGGATGAATTGGGTGTTTGGAGTGAAGAAGGAAAAGCTGTTAAAATTATGACATCCTGGATTTAGCTTCTGTCCTATATGGAGATGTGGAAGCCTGGGGCAGAAGTAGTTTGGGGGAAAAGATGAAGTTCTGTTTTGATGTATGTGTCAGGTGCCTTTTACACATCAGACTGGAAATGAAGAACAGAAATGGACAAGAGATCTGGAGCTTAGAGGAGCAGCTGGGCTAGAGGTAGACATTTAGATGGGTAGTTCTTCCCTGGTCTTCACACAGCTGGTGAATGATAAATATACATTTTATAGATTTGTTGTTCTTCAGTGAGCTTACTCTTTGATTTCTTTGCATGGTTAGAAAACTGGAAATCTCTGAAATGCAAATTTCCAGTTAGAAAAATGAAAGTCAGACAGTCCATCCTTACCTTTGTCTGCAGCCTTTTATCTTGTCTTGTCATAAAGTCTTTCCATGCCACCTGATTCTCTTTCTCAGTCTGTGGCTTTATCTTTTTTCCCCTCATACCACCTAACTTTATACATTTTTGTCTTAAGTCTTTTATTTCCCTGGTGGCAAACTGCTATTATATATGTTAATAATGAGACTAGTGAGAGTTAAGGCAGCTGTGTTCTCCTTACTCCTGGCATTTTCTATTCTTGGGTTGATTCCAGTAAAAGAGGAAGATGGGGCATCTATGACTTTTCTGCTTTCTAACAACTGGAATTTCCCTTTCATCTTCTTTCCTTGGCTCTTATTGGATCTCATTCCAGCATGGGCCACAGTAAGCCTTGAGTAACTATGGGGCTTGCCTAACTATAAACCTTTTTCTCTATAAGAGAGTAAGGTATTATCCTCAACCATGCAGCACCTGTCATGAATTTGAAGAACCATTTTCCAAGAAGCTACAGAAATCAGTAACTCTGTATTAAGGGAAAATCGTGTAGGATCTACATTCTTCATGTATTAACTGCTGGTTGAAACAGCCATGGGAATCTTTTAGAATAAGAGTTTCTTCTTTCACTTGGATCTTTTTTTAGTTTTCTCCCCAATTAATCTCTTGCAGTGATTTAGAGTCCCGTAGGGATGTGAAGAGAGAGGAAGGCGAGGCCTTTGCCCGGGAGCATGGACTTATCTTTATGGAAACGTCAGCCAAAACAGCCTGCAATGTTGAAGAGGTACTACTTGGGAAAAAGTAGGGAAAGCTTTTGAGAGATGACGCCATATCTTTATTCTTTTATTCAAAATTTTCTTCTATAAGACCATAGTTAAGGAAACGATGTCTTGTGGTCACATTGACCATGTTTCCCTTTAAGGGAATTGTCCTTTTTTTTGTTTTGCCTTGATTCCTACAGTGGAGTTTTACTTTTGCCTTGTGTAACGTTAATTGGTAAGTGTGGATTAGACACCAGTGTTGCTTGTAAATATTTTAGTTGGAGGATCTCATGGGTTCTACTGTAGTCATTCTGAAGCCTGCTATTGACTGTATCTTCAGTAATTAATTGAAAACATCATGTTTGTTTTATTTGGAGAAGGTGCCAATCTAGGGAATATCTTCAGTATCAAAATACCATATACTCCCTTTTTTCTTTTTGAAACAGAGACTTGGGCAGGGGGTGGGCACTTCTGTATTTTTACTCTGGTCTCAATGGTTCCTAATTCATACCTGAGAAATCCAAGTAGGAATAATATTTGTATTACCTTTTCCTATTAGATTTCTTAAACTTGAGCCTAATAATATGATTTATGTCTCCTTTAGGCCTTCATTAACACAGCCAAAGAAATATATAGGAAGATCCAGCAGGGTTTATTTGATGTCCACAATGAGGTGAGAAGGGGGGTGGGGCTGACAGTTAACTTTGCTTTGTGTTAAAGAGGACAAGAAATCCTCTAGAACGTAAGCATTTCCTTTCTAACATCATGCTATTTGAAGCTATGCCAATTCATACTTGATTTTTTTTAAGTAGGGAGAGAGAAATCTGTCATTTTCTGTTTTTTCTCAAGTCTGGGGCCCAGAATGCTTAAAGAGATAATTAGTTGGTATCTAAAATGTTTATACAGTATGGGAGGTTTTCTTTGCACTATCCCAGTGTTTGGGGGTGATGTAATTCCTAATTGCTCAACAGGGCCATTTCTATAAAGCAGATTCTGTGGCAAAACAAAGAATTAAATGCTGACATCTACTCTTTTTTTTTTTTTTTTTTTAAAGATTTTATTTATTTATTTGAGAGAATGAGATAGAGAGCATGAGAGGGGGGAGGGTCAGAGGGAGAAGCAGACTGAGCCCGATGCGGGACTCGATCCCGGGACTCCAGGATCATGACCTGAGCCGAAGGCAGTCGCTTAACCAACTGAGCCACCCAGGCGCCCTGACATCTACTCTTTCGCCTCCTGCTCTTAACCTCATCTCATCCTGATTCTGCACATCACTATGAAACCTAAATATGACTCTTACCTTAAAAATGGGCACAAGACAGGTGCCTGGGTGGCTCAGTCGGTTAAGCATCCAACTGTTGATTTCGGCTCAAGTCAAGATCTCAGGGGTTGTGAGGTCAAGCCCTATGTTGGGCTCCGCACTGGGCTTGGAGACTGCTTAAAGATTCTCTCTCTCCCTCTCCCTCTCCCCCCTTCCCCTCCACCCTCACTTAAAAAAAAAGGGGCACAAGAGTCACTTGTAGTCATCTATAATACTTATATCTGAGCTGGTCATCTCATCTTTATTGTTGAAGATTATTGTTTTGCATCAGTTGGGCGGGCACATGGTTACCTGCCAAAGCCATATCTGCTTCTAAAAAATGTAATTTCTGATTTCTCTTTTTATCCCTGTCTTTTATCCCAATTACTTTAGCACTGAGGTGGGAACTCTTGCCTTTTTCTTTTACAGGCAAATGGCATCAAGATTGGTCCTCAGCAGTGTATTTCAACATCAGTAGGACCCAGCGCCTCCCAGCGGAACTCTAGTGAAATAGGGTCCAACTCCGGCTGCTGCTGAATATCTGGCCTGGACTCTTTTTTTCCTTCCTGGAACAGCTTCAGATCAATAGGCTTAAAGAAAGAGGTCTTACTTGCTTTGGCTGAGAAAAGCCTCTTTTCAAGGTGTGATGTTTTGCCTTTCCACTTAAAGACCAGGGAAGAATTTGGGCCCTTATTGACCTGTCCTCCTTCAGGGACGTGAGCATTCCCTATAGATTAGGGCTCTTCTCATCCTCCTATTTTAATTTCTAAAATGTTAGGATCAAAGTTGATTGTCGTGGTAGCTCAAAAATAAATTCTTTTATAAGCGTACACAATTGGCTCCCCACCAAGAATTAGTAACAACGGTCTAGGACATTCTGCTTGAGCACTTGATTTTACTGGGATCTAGCTGGCTGGCCTTTGGATGGTGGATCTTATATCTAGGAATTTCATTGATTGTTTTCACTTGCCATTTTGTAAGAGTTCTTGCAGAAGGCAGTTCCTTCTACTTGAACTGCTCAAGGATGCTGAATAATTTTCTGCCATCCTATTGCTAATTTCTTTGTCTCAGAGTAACCATAAAACTTTTGAGAGCAGTGGAGTTGCTCCTGGCCCTATGGCTACTTATCATCATTACCTAAAGAAAACTTCTTTCCCTGTTTGTTTTAGGGATCAGACCTAACACTGCAGTGTCTTTCACCAAATTAACCCCCTACTGTTTCACCATACTTCTCAACGAGACCTATTTAGACTTTCTACTCTAATCAAGCTAATCTGCTTACTGGACATGACATATTTACTTCCACTTCTATGCCTTTGCATATGCCCTACTCTCTGCTAACATTATTCTCAGTCCCCCAATTTTTCCTTCAGAAAACCTTCTTTGACCTAGGAACTTCTAAATAATTATTGACCCAGTACCCCTTAAGCTTTCATATGTTGTTTATTCATGTATGTATTTATTTATATTTATGTTACTTTGTAAATTTGTTTTGTGCGTGGAATCTGTCTCCCATATAGGCTGTAAGCTCCTTGAGACCAGGAACCATGCTATCCTTTACTTTTGTAGACCACTCCCTCCACTATTCCTTCACAGTGCCTAGAGCTACTCATTATGTGATCATTGGACTTGACTGACATACTTAAAGACTTGGAACAGGTTTATTGTAGACTGCAGAGGAAACAAAAGGCCTTAGAGTCATCTCTTTGTAACTGTCTCAGTCTCTTGCATCTGCTTACCCTGGATTCTATATTGCTCTTACCCCTTGCCCCTCTTTCCCTTCCCTGGCTCTTTGCCTCCATTCCCTGCAGCATACAGTAAGGCTGTCAGCTTCCAAGCAGTCAGATAAGTGGGTACCTGTCCAAACATTTTTCTTTTCAAGGGCATATACTACTATGCTAAGCAAATTTCCCTTTGCTTCACTCATCAGGCAGCCTTCTGGGTCAGTTTTTGTGTCTTTTGCCTTGATGTCCCGTTCTCTTCCACAGCATTGAGGTCTCATGAATTTTTCTAATTTTTTTGTTGTTGATGAATTGTTTCATTATTAAATATATGCATGTATCCAAGCTGCTCATATTTCATGTGTTCTTTCTGATTTTATCCCAAACATTTGTAGATACTCTCCTTCTAGGAAATTGCATCAAAGGTATTATTGGAAGAAGGCTCCTTGAGATACACTCATCTTTTTTTTAAGTTTTTATTTAAATTCCAGTTAACATACAGTGTAGTATTAGTTTCAGGTGTACAATATAGCGATTCAACACTTCATACATCACCTGGTGCTCATCACAAGTGCAGATACATTCATTTTATACTAGGTTTTGCCCCCTGTTAGTAGTAATAATAAACACTACACCACAGGAAGTTGGGGGACTTTTGGTGTAGTGCTTTGATTATGCTTTTTAAAAAAATCCTACCTCATTCCAAAAAGGATTTGAGGCTGTTGAATTTGGGGTTAGCCTGTCCCCTCACACCTGGGACAAAACTAAATATAACTTTGTAGTTTCTGTACAGAAACTCCCAACACCCAAGGATTCTGTCATTGGTTTAAAATTATGGAAAGTGAGGGGTACCTGGCTGGCTCAGTTGGAAGAACATGGGACTTGATCTCGGGATTGTGAGTTTGATCTCCATGTTGGGTGTAGAGATTACTAAAAAAATTAAATTTAGGGACATCTGGGTGGCTCAGTCGTTAAGGGTCTGCCTTCAGCTCAGGTCATGATGCCAGGGTCCTGGGTTCGAGCCCCACATCGGGCTCCCTGATCAGTGGGAAGCCTGCTTCTCCTCCTACTCCCCCTGCTTGTGTTCCCTCTCTCACTGTGTCTCTCTGTCAAATAAATAAAATCTTTAAAAAAAAATTAAACAAAAAAAATCCAAAACACTCAACATTCTATACTTGGGTATTTCACCAATGTAAGGAAAGCATGAGAAAACTACTTGGGCAAATTCATGACCTGTATTGATCATTGCTGATATTCGGAGTGAAATGGTCATGAAAAATTATAGGAAGTAAATTCCCCCACCTCCATATGAAGAATGGTAATTATGAAGTAATGAGGGTGTTTGGCTTTTAAAGGCCAGCACCAGGGGTACCTTTCTGGCTCAGTTGATAGAGGAAGCGACTGTTGATCTTTGGGTCCTGAGTTCAAGCCCCACCTTGGGAGTAGAGCCTACTTAAAAAGGGGGGGGGGCAGGATCACTGGAAATCCTGTTTATAGCAAGGAGTCTAAATACTACTACTTACAGATCATTGCAGATAGTAGAAATTAGTAGAGCAGGCCACAGCCTTTCCCTTTTCCATAAATGCCTGCAACTAGTTCCTTTGATAGGTTTATTTTGTACCAAATAAGCAAAAAGAACCTATTGGTTTTCATTCCAGAAACATAAGATCATTGCTGTATATGCATCTACAGACAAACACCAAATGCACAGCTGGTAAATTGTTTTGGTATATTCTAATACCTCAAATTGATAACGATAGCAGTAGCCAGGGAGAAATTTGGCCAACGGATTTTGCTCAATATACAGGGAAATGTATTTGACTAAGTCTTACCACTTCATAAAGTATTGATTCCTATGATTCCTTACTGTCTCTGAGTTCCTATTATGTGTGACTGCAAATATGTTATTCCTTGAGAAATACCTTTAGTGATCTGAAAGGACTCCCTTCACTCACAGGTTCAAAAAGCAAAACCTTCCTGTAGCAAGTTTGTAATAGCAGTAGAAATTTATACTAGGAAATACAGGGAAGTGTCATTGAGCACAAGAGAATTTCACCGACAACAAAAATTTTTTTTAGAGCTCTTACTTAGGGGCGCCTGGGTGGCTCAGTGGTTAAGCGTCTGCTTTCTGCTCAGGTCATGATCCCAGGGTCCCGGAATCGATACCCCATCCGGCTCTCTGCTTGGCAGGAAGCCTGCTTCTCCCTCTCCCACTCCCTCTGCTTGTGTTCCCTCTCTCACTGTGTCTCTCTCTGTCAAATAAAGAAGGGGGAGTGATAGACTGAGCCATCCAGGCGCCCCTCTCCTACAATAAAATTATTTCCTTTCTAGTTTAAATGCTGTTACCAGGAAAATATTCTCTGCGGACTGTTTCTAAGGCTGTCCCCTGACGGCCCTCTTCACATATAATCTCTCCTCGGAGGCTCCTATCATGTGCTCTGTCGGTACTAACACGTAATTTGGGTCTATTGGTGAATTTGGGGTCTTTTAAAAAAATTCTTCCCTAAATCCTGGTCATTTATATGAGACTCTCAGTCGTCTGTACTGCCAGACCCAATGCTGGAAAACTTGAACTGAAGCATTAGGATTAGAAGCACCTAGAATAGATACATAACCTACGTTGGTCTTATGCTGATATTCTCAGGGGTGAGGTGTCTATAGATTATCCTAGGACTGTGAAAACCCACCCTCATTCCCAAAAATTGATTTTTGTTGCTGCTTTGGTTTGGTAAGATCTCTTCACTCATATGGGGGGGTAGTTGCCTGTAACCACATTAAGCCCTATTCCTGACCGTCGTGATTGGGGACATTCTGATTACATAAAGTATGTTGGGGCTGGACCTACGTAGGTCGACAGAACTCGGAAAAGGGCTTCAAATTCCTTAAATACTCCTTCCTCTTCCCCGTCCCCAAGACACTGGCCGGATCCAAGATGGCTTCCCCAAACAGGTAACTAAATGTTTTAGTTTAGAGCGCCCCCACCGGCGGGGGTCAAAAAAAAAAAAAAAGATGCCGAGAGGCCTGAACGCCTGTGAACTGAGCAGTCAAAGGCAAGTGCCGCCAGATTTTATTTTCAATCAGGCATATCTGTGGTTGCCTACCTACCCTTCTCAGCCTTTTAGGACCTCCCACCCTGCAGAGACTTCCTGGATGGCACTCACACTACCTTGCTGGAAGAGGCCGGGCGTCAGCCCTGCCATTGGTGGGTGGCCGCGTAGGTGGGCGGAGCCGAGGGAGAATGGACTACCAGCAAGCTCGATTGAGGCGAGGGCTGGCCATGCTCCGCCGGAAGGCGCCTTGTTCTCCGAAAGGGTGAGTTGAAACGCTGGCTGGAAAGGAAGCACCAGGACTTGTTCAGGTAGGCTTCCCTCTCACGCCTGCTCATCAGTGCTGGTCCAAGAGTCTTTGCAAAACTAAAGCTCTTAGAATTGGTTTCAGTAACTCATCCTCCTCCTCGCTCCCCCGCTTCTTACCCGTCCCCCAGTTGTGAGGGATCAGGTGCTGGGTGATGCTCTGGACTGAACCATTCTCCTTTGTGAAAGGCCGGGGGAGAGGGCGGCTGCTGGGCCGCGGGGCCCGAGTTGGGCCAAGCCGCGAAGGGGGCTTCCCCGCCGCTGTGGGGTTTTTAGGGCTTGTCATTGCATTACTGGGCGTGGTGTAGATTTGAGGCAGCTCCTTGTTCTCCTTGCCTCTTCAGCGGAGAGAAAACTCCCCGGCTCCGTTTGGTTACTCCATACTTTGGTCTCAGAAGTGGGAGGTTAGGGTTTTTTTTCTTTTTTTCTTTTAATAATAAAGGTGGGTAGGAAAGCTTGGGGTGAGGGTGTGTACATTGTTATACATTATTAGGTGTAATTTCTTGGGTCTTTGGGAGGGAAGATCAGGCTTTTGGAGAGTGTTTAGAGATGGTGGGAAGAGAGGAGCTCAAGCTTTGCATCTCCATTGACAGGTCTGCAGAGCTTACTGGTCTTCTGTTGCATTATGTAAACTCTTCACTAACAGAAGACCCCTCCCCCTGCCTCGGAGTGAATGCAATTTCTTTATTTACCTGTCTCTAGTGTCGCAGGAAATTTTCCAGCCATTGCAGCAGCTGTGCAAGTGCAGCAGCTCCTGCCCTTAAGGGGCAGTCCTAAAGTGATTAAGGTCTTAAAAGAAGTGTATAGCGGAGGTGTATGGGCATATAGATGTTTAGCGGACCAATCTTTTTTAAGTGACTAGGAATAGTGAGGTAGGAGTCGAAGACTTAAGAAGTTGTCCTAATGGAATTGCCCCAAATTCAAGCCAGAGGAGCTGCGTTATCAATGTTTATTGCATCCTACTCTCACACCAGAATCCAGAAATTATTTACTCTTCGTGTTGTTCTGAGCCTCTCAGTTCAGTCAGGGATTCTCTCACTGGGTTATCCTTAGAGTCGGCTGAGGTCCTATCTGGTGTGGGACACTTTAGATGCTAGAAGGTGAGTTTGGGATTTGAATAAGGTCCTCGTTAGTTAATTAATGTCTTCTGCTTAGGAATTTCTTTTGTAGTGCTCATCAAGCAGGCTTCAGAACAAATTGTGGTATTTTGGACTTATCCACCCCTTAAAAGAGTTATAAAGAAAACATTTTCTATTTAAGAAGACCTGGGTTGCAAGAGACGCATGCCAGTGGGTCTGCAAGGCATGATGAAGGACATTGGCCAAAGAGGGTAGGCGTGGGTGAAGAGACAGGCCTGGGGGAAGGTCTAAAACTGAAGTAGCAGAGGAGTAATGGATTGAGATCAGGGATTTGATGGAGCAGTGTATGGATACTTGCACAGTTCACACCTTGCCAGTGTTTGATCTATCCTGTGCATCTGATCTTTTGATTTTGTCAGTTCCCAAATCGATAAAATATTTATTTAGACATGGATAGAAAATGATAGAAATAGGCACGCCTGGGTGGCTCGGTCGGTTAAGCATCTGCCTTCAGCTCAGGTCATGATCCCAGCGTCCTGGGATCGAGCCCTGCATCAGGCTCCTTGTCGGTGGGTAGCCTGCTTCTCTTCTGCCTGCCGCTCCCCCGCTTGTACTCTCTCTCTCTGGACAAATAAATAAACAAATAAATAAAAATTAAAAAAAAAATGATAGAAATAGATAGAAATCTACTGAACTGGTTGTGAATCACCAGGAAATACAGATGTTGTATTTTCTGGGACAGTCTTCTCTGCAGCACCTGGTGGTGCTGGAAGAATCTTGGCATTGTGGTCACCACCACTGCAGAGTTTTGGTTATAAGAGGAAAAAAAATCTGACATTTTATATGAAGGCTCTGATAGGTAAGATAGAGTTTCCCATAGGTAAGGTAGGATGGTGAGGGGGAATTCGTCTTT